AAAAAAAAAAAAAAAAGAATTTCCTGGGCTGGCCCCGTGGCTTAGTGGTTAAGTGCACATGCTCCGCTGCTGGTGGCCTGGGGTTCGGATCCCGGGCACGCACCGATGCACCGCTTCTCCGGCCATGCTGAGGCCGTATCCCACATATAGCAACTAGAAGGCTGTGCAGCTATGACTTACAACTATCTACTGGGGCTTTGGGGGGAAAAAAAATAAATAAAATTAAAAAAAAAAAAAATTTCCTTCTTCCTTGGGCCACTACAAAACAGAACAAACTCTCTCAGCTTTTAAAAAATATCCTCCTGGGGCCAGCCCTGTGGCCAAGTGGTTCAAGTTCTGCGCATTCCACCTTGGTGGCCCGGGTTCTTGGGTTCAGATCCCGGGCACGGGCCTACTCCACTCATCTGCCATGCTGTGGAGGCATCCCACATACAAAACAGAGGAAGACTGGCACAGATGTTAGCTCAGGGCTAATTTTCCTCAAGCAAAAAAGAGAAGAAGACTGGCAACAGATGTTAACTCAGCGTGAATCTTCCTCACCAAAAAAAAAATATATATATATATCCTCCTATTCCTGAAGCAAGAATATAGCTCACATTTCAAGTAATTGGGGAGAACAAAAAATAAAAAGTACATCTTCTCCCACAAAAGTTATGTTTTGAAAACTTCAAAACAACATGAGTAAATGCTTTTATTATAACATTAAGTCAGGAGAGAGTGGGATAGGAAACTATATATTTAATATAGCTTAATCTATGAGGGTGGGAAGGGAAGGGATTTTCTTAAAAAAGAAAATCACTAAAATGTTAGTAGAAGTGGTTATTAGGTGGTAGGAATATGAGTGGTATTTTAATTTTTTTCCACTTTCCTATATTATTAAAAAACTGAGACTATGATACGCTTAAAGTTAAAAAACATAAGTAAACATTATTTTGAAAAAAAGACTCCCTCCTCTGGTCTACTGTCTTCTACTCACACTTTTTAGGAAAAACAGGGCCATAAAGAGAAAAAAATGCTACATTTGGATTATCTAAAAAGGAAAAAAATAATTAAATAAGATCTTCTTTCATTTAAATTGTTAAGAAGAAGCAGTGAATCTTCTTAATTCATCAGTGCAATGGGACAAAGGTCAAAGGAAGAGGTAAAGAGGAAAAATGTGTTTATTTACTCTTCTCTCTCCACTCTCCTCCTTCTTGGTCAATGCCAAGCCAATCACTACTATTCATCCCTTTTTATCCAGGTTAGCGTATTTCTTAAGGGCAAAGTCTATATCTTAATCATCTTTTTACCCCAGTGCTCAGAGTCATTAAAAAGCAAAATAAGAATCCAGGGTCTCTGTTCCAAAAAGATCTGTTAAACAAATGAAAAGTACAAATGAGACAATATCTGCCTTTATGGAACTCACTAATTGGTAGAGAAGACAATCATAAACATACAATTTCAAATACAATATGGTACATGCTTTAACATATGATCTAACAGGGGCACAAAGGAGGAAATGTTCAATTCTACTTGGGGACTCAGGTAAGGGCTTATGGGGAGCAGCTGGATTTTGAAAGATAAGTATGAATTTTCTTGGTAAACAAAGGAAACGCATTTCAAGCAGGACAGCACATACAAAGATACAGAAAAATAAAAAAGCATGGTGGGTGTAACGTGCATATAAATCAACCAGGGATCTGATTAAAATGCATATTATGATTCAGTCGGTCTAGGATGAAGCATGAGAGTCTGTATTTATAATAAGCTCTCAGGTAATGCTGATGCTGTTGATCCACAGATCACAGTGAGCAGCAAGGGGTTAGAACACCTATTAACAATTTCCTATGCCTGGACCATATGGTGGGAAAGAGATAAGATCAGGCTACGAAGTAAAAGCCTAACCAAAAGATGATAGATTGTTTGACCATTAGTGTTATCTCAGCTTAAGAGAAACCATTCTGGCCTTAGTAAGCAGTAACTTTAGTGCTCAGGAATTTTAAAAATTAGATTAGCACCATGAAACTATAAAAAGCAATGAAAGAATGGGGAATATAAAGGAAGTCTGAAGTAAGAAATAAGATAAAGGAGAGGGAAAATAACAAGTGAGCACATCCAATTTTTTATGCCGTTGTAAGTCTGAAGTTATACATACATCAAATTGAAGAATTTTTACTTACAAAGTCATCTTCACCTTCAGCTACACCATAATTAGGCAACATAGCTCCCTCCATTGTGGTGCTCTTGAATACTCCTTTAATTTTGCTACCTATTCTGCTGATTCCAAATGATTCTCCTCTTTTCTGTGTGCTCCTAAATATTAAACAAAAATGTATCAATAACATAGCAAATTATCATGATAGTCTACTTTACTGTAAACAGTAATAAAAATAGTTGTGAAAAGGGTAAACTGAAGGTATAGCTAACAACTTTTTGGACTTCTCAGTCATAGATTAAGTCTCAACATCTCAGAAGCCAAATGTGACAGAACATTTAAAGTTTAAGTTTAGAGGGATGAATAAATAGGATAATATTTATTAACATTTGAAATCTACCTACTATTTAACTTTAAAACATTAACTGAACTACAATGTTTAAAAGATGAGAGACCCCTAGTGGTACATAGTTCTTACTGCCATACCTATTTTGAAATCGATAACGTGGTAAAACAGAATATTCATTTGGAACTGTACCACTAAAATAATACAGTGTAACAGAAAAAAATATAAAACTACGACCTTCTCAGTACTTCATTTTTAGATAGAACTTAACAAAATTTCTGTCCTCTATGACATTTTTAAGCCAAATTCAACTTTATAATCATAAGAATATTCAAAAGAAGAACGAAGTATAAAATACATCTTACTTAACATCAAAGTAATAAGAAGAAAATATAAAATGCCAAAGGGAAGGGTTAGCAATGAGCATAGGGACAAAAGCAAATGTAGCCTGAGGAAGCAGCCTACTCTGCCATATACACAAAATGCTGCTTTTGTAATTTTTTTCAAAAATTAATTCCTAAACGCAGAAAAAGCTGGAAAACAACAAAAAAGCCAAAAAGCAGCAAAAATTTCTTCCATTACAGCTACCGCCCCATGTTTCAAAAAAAAAACATAACTTTTACCCAATTTAAAACTCATGCTCATTCTGTAATATTCCCCTTGTAACAGATACTCAAAGAAAAATGACTATTTTAAAATCCAAGAAAGTTTGTTTTGAATGCTTAACTTAATGGATAGCTATTAATCCTACAGGCAAATTCATTTACTGAAATAATGCAACAACTACAGAAATCAAAGTAAATTGATCAAGTCTCAGATACACCAGGTATATTAGTGACATGTGCATTTTATATGCATGTCCAAGGAGCAAATGAAATTTATTTTAAAACTGGAAAAATTCTAATAATAAGTATAAGTACTAAAAAGGCTACTTAAACTAGATTATTTTATTTAAACAAGCATGCAATGAGTGTTTTTTAAAAATCCAGAATTGCAAACACAATTCTTTCTGATAGAAGAAATGTTTCCAAAAACAAATACGAAAGTGTTGACAAAATATTATTAAAATCTCTAGAATCTAGATAGATTATTCTAGTCTCTACAACCTAGATAGATTATAAAACAATTGAGCTTTTTGTTTTTTTGTTTGTTTTTTGTTTTTGTTTTTCTTTTTTTTGTGAGGAATATCAGCCCTGAGCTAACATCCATGCTAATCCTCCTCTTTTTGCTGAGGAAGACCGGCTCTGAGCTAACATCTATTGCCAATCCTCCTCCCTTTTTTTTTCAAAGCCCCAGTAGATAGTTGTATGTCATAGTTGCACATCCTTCTAGTTGCTGTATGTGGGACGCAGCCTCAGCATGGCCGGAGAAGCAGTGCGTCGGTGCGCACCCGGGATCCGAACCCGGGCCTCCAGTAGCGGAGCGCACGCACTTAACTGTTAAGCCACGGGGCCAACCCCAATTGAGCTTTTGAAATATGACATTTTTAAAAAATATCTCACTTGTGATTATACTCAGAAATACAGAAATATTGTACTTTTTCCTTAAAAAAGTTATTTAAACATAAATAATTCTAAAAGTAATTTAGCAAAATCAATAACAACAAAACAATGAGTCAATAGCCTTGAAAAGCTAGATACTAGCTTTTTATTTTTATACTGACATTTTTATTTTATGATGACATATATCATGCTATTTCAAAAAGAAGATATCTAGAATCAAAGTAGAGGTTAATTTTAAAGGGATATCCCAAATAGGTGATATAAAGGCAGTAATAGCATATTGTTTCATTTTTTTTCTTTTTAGTTGTACTTAGGTTGTTTTGGGTATACTTTCTGGACTTAAACAGATAATTTATACAGAAAAGAACCACATGCTGTCTCAAGACTTACCGAAAATCATCCAAACTTAGGCTACCTCTGCAATAACAGATATGTGAAATTATGTAAGAAAAGGAGAGAGAGAAAGCCCAGATATTAAACAAGTTACACTTTAGAACACAAAACAAAATTTAAAAGTTTTAAAAGTTACACAGGTGGATAGCATTCATCTTTGCAAAGGGAAGGAATTCTTATGAATAACATGATAGAGGAAAGGGAAACAAAGCACAACGGATAACTGTTTTGGGGGGTTTGGGAGTATGAATTCTAGATCATTATAAAAAAATTCTTAAAAACTCAGTATGGCAGGAAATAATTCTGTATTTTTTGCCCTCCTTTAAGCATACCATTTTTTTGATACAGTGGAAAGTATGCAGAGACTAAGCCACCAAAAACTTGGCACAGAAAACAAACTCGTATTTTCCAGCATGGAATTCATGTCCATATTAAGATATAATTATGTGTGCTTCACACATTTTTAGTTTGAGTATTTTAAAAAGCATGTTTTAAACTAAGAAGCGAGTTAACAAATGATCCCTAAATATTTTTTTAAGTTATGCTTTGAGTACGGAATAAAATAGAATAATAAATTAAAATTAATATGCAATAAAATTTTATTTTTAAAATACAATTAAATAGAATGTAGACATAAAATGTATGAATAAATATTTTACATATTTTAAGTCACTTAGCAAATTAGCAATGCTACTCTAAATTTTTAATGAAAGAACGTTAAGAAAGTCTTTTACTTATTTTACATAGGTAAATGAATCATTAAGTATCATAGAAGCAGAGTCCTGACAAGATTGATAGTTAACATTAAAGTCAGGTCAATATAAAGAAAAATATACTTTAAAAGACCATAATCAATACCCAGAATGAAAACCCGTATTTTCTTCCTGTTTATTTTATATTTTAAAGCCAGCAAAATTAGCGCCTTAATATGTTGAAGACAACTAGGTGTTTTCAAAGTGGCAAAGAAAGCTTTCTATCTCTGAAGTTATGACCCTGACTTAGATTTAGCTACTCAGCAGGCTTATAAAATCAAAGAACCGCTTACCCTTACACGGTCCTATATAGGAGTTGCATTAAGCTCAATATCCTAGTATGAGACTCCAAACATCCTAAGTCTATAAACAGGGATAAATTCCACCTGTTTCTCAACTGATGCTTGGAAATTTGATAAAAGTCTTGAAAAAATATCCAAATGAGAGAAGAGGTGCATAGATTGGGTGAAGAATGCTATTTTAAATAGCATGGATGGGATTTTTGTTAAATAAAGTCAATGTTTCATGGCTGTAATATATAAATTCTTAGGAAAAAGGAGTGATATTTTACAACGAATCATAAAGATATTTTCCACCTTTCAGAGTAGTTATTACATGCATACAACTTATAATGAGGCACTGTGTAAGAATTAATATTTAACATTCAAAAAAATTCAAATCTATTTCTACAACTTTTGGTTATGTCAGAAAACACAATATATTCTCCCCATGACTAAGGCTTTCACCTTTTTCCTTGTACTAGCTATCCAAACAACTACTCCATTTTCTGACCTATCTACTTCTCTCTCTGTACCACATCTCCAATTTATTTATATATTTATTAGATCCTTGCTCAGACCAACTGGAAGGTATTGAGAGCAACGTGAATATCTATTCCATAGATTGAAAAATTTGATACCTGTGTCAATTTTGTACATATAACAATGCAAGGACAAATTAAGACATTAACTATCCAGTTTATAAATGAATAAAGCTTCTCTTTTCTGTTACTGTTCTTTAAGTCATTTAGAGAGCCAGAAGGGAAAGGGAGAAAAACCCCTCCACTTTTGTAATCAGTAATAATAAAAAGTAATAATAGAGTAAAAGTACCCTAATAAAAAATACTCTCCAGAAAAAAAAAATTACTGTCTACAATTGAGTCACCCGTGGATATCATTTATGCATGCAGCCCACAGTCTCCAATAAAGCAGGTGATCAAGCACTGGTATGTACTCACTTTGAGATTAACAAGGCAATGCTGTATATCTTGGTAAATTTTTCTAAAAGAATTTCAGGGATTTTCAGGTTGCTATAGGTAGTACAGTTCTACAATTCCTGAGTAAAATGTCTTATCTACTTATGTAGCAATGGAACCATATATTCACAGAAAAATAGCTAATAAAGACAACAATGCTATCACAAAATGATTAGCATCAACAAGTACAAAAAAAACATACATATGATTGAATACACTTACCTGTTGAATTTTGAATTGCGTGTTGGTGACTCTGCACCTCTTAAAAGCTGTCTGAAATACTTCAAAAATAATTATGATTTATTAAACTAATATTTGATATTGAAACAGGCTACTTTACCTTACTATTTCCCAGTTTAAAGAAAATGTTACTTAAATCAAGTGAATACAACCACAGTCAAAGAGAGTAAGGATTAAAATATTGGAGATATGGCAAATGGAGATATTCAGGCCAATTGATTTCCACAGGTCTGTAAATAAAGTATATACAAGAAGAATGGGGTTTCTGCATCACCACAGTACTACAAAGCCACTCAGGCATATGGCAAATCAGGTAGACCAATTTGGTCACAATCTACCTAGTCACATATATACAAACATAGTTTTGGTATTGAGAGTTGTTTTTATAATCAACTTCTAATCTTCATCAAGTTACGTAGTAGAAAGGAGTATTCACTTGCTTAATTAATTATGTTTTATTTTTCTGTTTCTTTTGTTATTTGAATCACTCATCTAACTATATCAAAGCCACTATTAAATTTTGAAGAAAAATCCTCAAACAAGATTAATACTTTGACTTACCTCATCACTGTGGCAGAACATAGGAGTAAACACATTCTCCAAGAGAGAAAGTACATGTTCATATGCTTCGAAGAGACATCTCATAGTCTGAAGTTTCACAACATCCATATATGGGCCTTCAGCAACTATTAAAAAAATTATTGCAGAAATTGTTTGTGAATATCATAAATACATTATATATTAGTTTAAAATTCATGACAGTGAAAGAGCATACGAACAGTCCTAAAACTATGTTTAGCAGAAAATACACTATAAGGTATAGAAATCACACTAGAAATAGGAATTACAAACACCAAGTCCAGTTGTGGCAAGTATTAGTGATGTGAATTGTGAATAAGTTTCTTCATCAAACCTTTCATCATGTTAGTAAAACAGGATAATGGCTGCCTGTGTATCTCACATAGCTGTTGCAATAATAAACCGAAAATACATGAGAAAATTCTGAAAACTGTAAAGGGGCTACAGAAGTCATTCTCCTCATCATCTCTGACTTACTTTTTTGAATCTCCTCTACAATGAAGGGATCAAATCGAATTTTGTCAATACTTTCATCCAAACAATATGTTTTATAAATCTTCTGCAACTCCTCATGAAGAGATAGCATTTCATCATTTGACAGCTCTGGTCGCAAAATTCTATCATTGAATTCCTCTGGAAAATTAGTAAAGAGTAATAAAAAAATGAATTATTTTAATACAAAACCATTCATGAAAACTTCATGTTCCCAGTTTAATTGTAATCAACATTAAAAGCAGCAAGTATAAACAATCTATTCATCATTGCAAGCTTTTTAAAAAGATTTAATTGGGAGTAAAATAACTACTCAGTGAAGGAGAAATTCAGTAAACCAAATATTTTATATACTAATATTAAATATGTAAATACAAATTTTCTGACATTTAGAATAGTAAACACACTTGTAAAATTTTCTTTAAAGAACATATTGGATTAATTTCTTATATCAAAGGTCTTTAATATTTTGAAACCTGATTCACTAAATAATAGTGAAAATTAAGGCTTTTGAGTTCCAGTGAATGTTTTTAAACAATATTTCCTTCTATCATGGAGGCTACTGCTACAGAGCAGTGAGGGAGCTGAGAGTCTGAATAAATGAACCATTTTTCTAAAATGACAGATGATAGCACTTAGGAGAGCCAAAATATTGACTGCTTTTTTTTTATTACAAGAGGTGTTAATATGGAGTTTACTCCTTAATTCTTAATTATCCAAATGTTTCCAAGAGGAAAGGAAGGAGTTTAAAAAAGAAAAAAACTTGAACAGAACATATAAGATCTTTGGGACGATAGCAAATTCATATACTGGAGTCTCAAAAGGAAAAGAGAAAGAAAATGAGGCAGAATATTTGAAGAGATAACAGCCAAGAATTCTCAAAAATGATGAAAGACAACAACCCAGATATCTAAGACTCTTAGTAAAATCCAAGCAGAATAAACAAAAAGAAAACTACACATTATAGTCAAATTACTGGAAACTAAAAATAAAGAGAAAATTGTAAAACCAGTCAGGAAGAAAAGGAATATATTATATACAGGGGACCAAATATAAGAATGGAAGTTAATATCTCATTAGAAACAACAGCATTGTCCAAAAGACAATGGAAGAATGACTTTAAAGTGCTGAAAGAAAAAAACTATCACCCTAAAATTCTATATACAGTGAAAATATCCTTCAAAAATTAAGACAAGGGGCCGGCCAGGTGGTGTAGTGGTTAGGTCCCCACACTCCACTTTGGCGGCCCAGGGTTCATGGGTTCAGATCCCAGGCGCAGAGATGCGCACCACTCATCAAGCTATGCTGTGGTGGCATCCCACGTATAAAATAGAGGAAGATGGGCGCAGATGTTAGCTCAGGGCCAATCTTCCTCACCAAAAAAAAAAGAAGACAAAATAAACATCTTTTCAGAGAGATAAAAGCTAAGACAATTTACCTCCAGCAGATTGGTACTATGAGAAATGTGAAGATGATTTCTATCAGCAGAAGGGAAATGACAACAGAAACTTGGTCATGACGACAGCAGAAAGTAATAAAGAGCACCAGAAAGGTAAATATGCCAATAACTATAAGGGCCAAAATTTATATATGTGTGTGTGTGTGTGTGTGTGAGACTGTTGACTATTTAAAGAAGAAATAACAGTGTACTGTGGGGTTTATAGCCTACAAAGAATTAAAATATATGATAACAAGTATAACAGGCAGGCAGGGAGAAATCTGAGGTAAACATTGTTCTTGAAGCTGTAAAGTATTTTTAAAGGAAGACTGTGATAAATGAAAAGATGTTTGGTGTAATCTCTGAGCAACCACTAAAAAAACAAAGAAGAAAACAGAAGACACATAAATAAAAAGTCAATAGAGGAGACAAAAAATGCAATACTAAAAAATATTCAAGCAGTGCAAAGAAAGGCAAGAAAGGAGAAAAAGAAGAACAAAGAATATATGGAACAAATACAAAACAAACACCAAGACGTAACAATAAACTTACAATAATTACATTAAGCATAAAGGTACTACAACCCCCAATGAGAAAGCAAAGATTAACAAACTAGATTTTCTTAAAAAGCAAGATTCAACTATATGCTATTTATAAGAAATACATTAAACACTTTAATCAAATGGAAAAAGATATACAATGCAAACCCAAGTGTAAAGAAAGATGCTGTAGCTGTATTAATATCAAACAAAGCAGACTTCAAGACAGAGAATTATCAGAGATAAAGAAGAGCATTTTAGAATGATAAAAGGATAAATTCATTAAGAAGACAGCAATTTTAAATGTGTCTGCACCTAATAATAAAATTCAAAATACATGGAAAAAAATTAAGAAAATTAAAGGGAGAAAAAGCAAATCCATTAAAAAAATGAGAAAGAGTATAGAATATTTGAACACAATCCATCAATTTAACCTAATTGACATTTATAGAACACTACCCAACACAGCAAAACAGACGTTCTTCTAACATGCACATGGAACATTTATTAATAAGACAGACTATATGGATGGGCCATAAAACAAGTTTCAATAAATTTCAAAGGACTGAAATCACACAGATTACGTTCTCTGATCAGAACAGCATTAAATTAGAAATCAATCACAATAAGATATCTCAAAAATCCCCAAACATTTGTAAATTTAATAATACACTTCAAAATAACCCAAGGGTCAGAGAATAAACCACAGAGAAATTTTAAAATATTTCAAACTGAGTGACAATAAAAAACATACCATCAAAAACTTTGGAATTCAGCTATAGCAATTCATAAGAGAGAAATTTATAGTTTTAAATGCCTATGTTAAGAAAGAGGACAAATATACAAATTGATCATCCGTGCTTTCACCTTAAGAAACCAGAAAAAGAAGTGCAAACTAAAGTCAAGGTAAGTAGAAGAAAGGAAATAATAAAAATAAAAGCAGAAAATCAGCAAATCAAAAATATTAATAGATTTGATAAACCCCAAGTATTATACACTAAGAAAAAAGAAAGTACAAATTATGAACAAAGAGAGGACATCACTACAGCTCCATAATAAAAGAAGGTGAGGAATAACTTGGTAATAATAAAATAGGTTACTGAGATGCGCTAAAAGCATTCAAAAAAATTCAATATCCCTTCACGATAAAAACTCTCAGAAAACTAGGAACAGATATCTATAAAAATCCCAGACTAATACACTTAATAGTACAACACTAAATGATTTCCCCCTAAGATCAGAAACAAAGCAAGGATGTCAGCTCTCACTTCAATTCTTGTAGTGAAGGTCCTACCTATTGCAATAGGCAAGAAAAAGAAATAAAAGGGATAAATATTATAAAGGAAAAAGTAAAACTGTGTATTCACAGATGACATGATTGTGTATATAGAAAATCCTAAGGAAATCTACAAAAAAGCTACTAGAACTAATAAGTGAATTTAGCAATGTCACAGGTACAAAGTCAATATGCAAGAAATCAATTCTACTTCTGAATATTAGCAACAAATAATTTAAAAAATTATTTTAAATACCACATACAATTACATCCAAAGACATAGAAACCTACCATGAAAACTACAAAATATTATGGAAAGAAATTAAATAAGACTGAAATGAATGGAAAAATATACCATGTTCATGCATTGGAAACCTAAATACTATTGAAATGTCATTACTCCCCAAGTTGATCTATAGATTCAATGTGATCTCAATCAAAAATCCAAGCTGGCTTTGCGCATATGTGTGAGAGAGAAAATTGGCAATCTGATTCTAAGAATTATACAGAAATGCAAAGAACCTAGAACAGCCAAAACAATCTTGAAAAAGAACGAAGTAGGAGGCCTCAGACCACCTGATTTCAAGTTACTATATAACCAAAGTAATAAGACTGTAGTACTGGCCAAAAAAATGGCCAGTACTTATCAATGGAAAAGAAGAGAATCCAGAAATAGACCCACACACACATGGTCCAATGATTTGACAAAGATGCCAAAGTAATTAAAGATGGGAAAGAAATGTCTCTTCAAAAAATGGGTATTGGAAAAACTGGACATATATGGGAAAATATGAACCTCTACCCCTACCTAAACCAAACAAAAATTATTTCAAGATAGATCACAAACCTACATGTAAAATATGAAAGTATAATGCATCTAGAGAAAAACAGGCAAATATCACCTTGACTTAGGGTAGGCAAAGATTTGTTATGCAAGTCTTAGAGAGGACTAACCATAAAATTAAAAATAGATATACTGAATTTCATTAAAACTAAAAAGTTCTACTCATCAAAAGACACTATTCAGAAAAATGAAAAGACAAGCCATAGTCTGGAAGAAAATATTCCTAATAGTTATATCTGACAAAAGACTAGTATCTAGAATATATAAAGAACTCCTATAATTTAATGACAAAAAGGAAAACAATTCAACAAAAAATAAAGAAGTGTTAAAAGACGAATACTTTCATAGAAAGATATTCAAATGGCCAATAAGCATATGATGAAGTGTTCAACACCATTAGTCATTAGAGAAATGCAAATTAAAAGCATAACAAGATACCAACATACACCCACTAAAATTAGAAAGATAAACACCATCAAACTTTGGTAAAGATGTGGAGCAACCAGAACTCGCACACATTGCTAGGGGGGTAAAATATTACAAGCAGTTTAGAAAACAATTTGGCAGTTTCTTACAAAATTAAACATATATCTACCCTGTGACCCTGCAAGTCTACTTCCAGTTATTAAATTATGCCCAATAGAAAGTCTTCTACAAGAATGTTCATAGCAGCTTTATTCATAATAGCCCAAAAGTGGAAATAGTCCAGATATCGATCTACAAGGAGAATGGATAAAGAACCCATGGTATACTCATACAAAAGAATACTACTTAGCAATAAAAAAGAGCAAACTACTCATCTATACAACAACATGGATCAATCTTAAAATACACTATCCTGAATCAACGAAGCCATGCACAAAAGAGTACATACTATGTGATTCCATTTATATAAGGAAATTGTACAGGCAAAACTAACCTGTGGTGAGAGAAATGAGACCAGTGATTGCTTTGGCAGGAGAGGGAGCAGGGGTGGATCATTTGGGAGGGGCCCTAGGAGAATTTTATGGGGTGACAGAAATGTTCTGTATCTTGATAAGGGTGCAGGTTACACAAATGTACAGATGTGTCAAAACTGATCAAACTGCACATTTCAGTTCTATGAGTTTCACTGTATAAATTATTCCTGAATTTTTAAAAATTTATAAAGAAATTAGGTGCATTAAAAAATTAATCTTTTCACAGAAAGCCCATCAAGTGTCTCATAAATCCAATAATGCAAGATGTTACAGAGCTTATAATCAAAATAAAACATTTTTATATCTGATTATTTAATCAAAATAATCCTTAAAAACTGTGACATAGTGCTATTAATATGGGCTAATGATTGGATCTTTAATATATTTTCATTATACTGAAGTTTTAGTAGTTTTTTCCTGCTAATAGGATTTGGTTGAAGTCAGTTATAGATTATGTCCCAATGTGGAAAGGAGTGGACACTCAAGAGACAACCCATAGGTGCTCTTAGAATATCTACTAAATGCAAGTCCAATGATAGATAACAACTACAACATTGGATGTGATCTCAATAGTCAAATATATTAAAAAGTTTAAAATGATTTTGGTGAAGTAGATAGGTAAACCTCACCCACAGTCAGACAAATTTGCAACACGTGCACGGCTCCTTCTTGTTTCAGGAAGTTCATAAAACGAAATAAGAGATCTTGCTGCTCTCTGATTTGCTTCAATTCTAACTTCAGCACCTTGACACAATAGGAGAGGAAGAGTAAGTTAAGACTATATAAATACATGATAAAATTGTCTATATCAAAAGTAATATAAGTTATTGCTTAAAATACTTACAGATGGCTTTTTATTTCTAGGTTCTGCAAATTTCTGCAAGAATGGAACCAAAGGGGAAGGTGGTTCCGTTGCTTTTTCAGGCTTTGAAGAAAGAGAATTAATTAATTCAATAAAATTGTCATTTGGTTTGACAGATATGAATCCAAATTCAATGCAATCTGAAGTGTTTTCTAATATGTTCAATACTCACTGGACTGTCATCTATGAAGATGATAAGCAAATGATTCACAGTATCCTAATGGAAAATAATAAACATAGGTCAAAATAATTAAATTACTGTATTCTGTACAGAATTCTCAAAGCCTTTATCATATTATGAAAATTTCTGGAAAAATGAAGAAACAAATGGAGCAGTGGCAAAGCATCTGCACTTTTGTAATACAGAGGTATTTTTAAAAATCTACAATGCAGGGTCTCACCTTTTGTGAAAATGGGCAAAGAAAAGTTATTCTGACTTGGGCATTTAAAATGTTTATAAATTATTCCTGTTTCTTCAAAATCTTACTGGATTAAAAGTAAAAGCAACTCAAGTGTCCATCAATAGATGAATGAATAAGCAAAATGTGGTATATACCTACAATAGAGTATTACTCAGCCTTGAAAAGGAAGGAAATTCTGATATATACTACATCCTCAAGGATGAACCTTGAGGACATTATTCTAAGTGAAACAAGCCAGTCACAAAAAGACAAATACATGATTCCACTTATAAGAGGTACCTAGAGTAGTCAAATTCATAGAGACAGGAAGTTGAGTGGTGGCTGCCAGGGGCTAGGGAGGAAGGAGGAATGGAGAATTATTGTTTAATGGGTATAGAGTTTCAGTTTTGTAAGATGAAAAGAGTTCTGGAGATTGGGTAGTGGTGATAGTTGATCAACAATCTGAATGTACTTCATAGTACTGAACTGTACATATAAAAACATTTAAAATGGTAAATCTTATGTTATATGTATTTTACCACAATTAAAGAAAAAAATTTTTTAAGTCTTACTGGATCAGCTAGGAAATCCAAAGAAGGAAGGAACACCGAACCAGAGAGGATCTCTCTTAAAAGTAGGGTCAGGGATCTGGAAAAAGAAATAACATTCTATATATTTAGTAATTTACATTAATTCTTCCCTGGGAATCTTGCTAAAATGCAGACTATGATTCAGTAGGTCTGGGATGTGCCCCAAGATTCTGCATTTCTAACAAACTCCCAAGCAATGCTCATGGTACTGGTACACAGACCACACCTAGAGTCCTCTGGCTAAAAGAGAATACTATTTAAGAGAACAAAACCATTTCCTTAGCAGGAGGGACTCCAGTGAGCATTAGAAAACACTTCCCATCTCAGAATATTTAAAATGTTTAATGTATTTTTAAATTAACATTTAAATGTTATATGTTTAATAGTATAATAAATTATTGTTTATTATACTAATGCTAATATGCTTAATAGTATAATAACTTATTTTGTAATTATAATATTTACACTAATATTATAAATGAATTTGTTTAAAATAAAAGTATTTTAATTAAAATATTAAAATTTTTAAATAAAATAAAGTAATATTTAAAGTACATCACTAAAAATAAGCCACGGTTTCTCCTCTAAGGATTATGAGGGTAAGAATAATGAGTTAACTTTAGGAAATAATCCAAACACTGTCCTGCCAGAACAAGGGAGGATGGACTAGACGACCTCTAATTATTCTTCCCAGGTAGATACCTTAAAACTCAAACTTGTCTATATAGTTTATTCAAAGCGTTTCTGCCAGTGAGTCATAATATGCATGTCTTTAAAAAGGTACACCATGGAAGTAACAAAGTATAATGATATCAAATAAGAAAATTAATTTTATTCATATTTATCTTTGATTTCCCAAGATCTTAAGCAACACAACCCATCATGAATACTTAGCACCTAAAATGACACTTTAAGACCTGACAAATAATATTTCTTAAATGAAAAATTATTCACATCATAGGCTAACCTCAAGTTTTAGTGTACCCCTATTACGATCAAGAATAGCAATATACATATGGCATGGTATGCAAATACTGCTATGACATTTTCCAGTCTATTTATACCTGCAGTCTGTTGCTTTAGGAGGCAAAATATAAGGAAAAAGTAGTTCGGTAAGTTTCCTTAAATAGTGTAATTCATCTCTTCGACTCCTCAAAGCCACATGAAGCTCTGGACCATATTCTTCTAAAGCAGCTTGCTGTAAAAACTCTGTATTTTCTACTATAAATAGACATAAAAAATAAATATTTAAAGAAGTTAAGCAACACTAAATCACTTCAGCCATTTTCACTAACAAATAGAAAATCATTTGTTAGTAGTAGTCATTCCTTTTCTGGCCTTCCTTTCTTTCCAATATGTATTCTACTGGGAAATTTTTCAAAAACAGGATATAAGAAGAACAATTTTCCTCTTTGCTGGAAGTTTTTAAATTTTGCAATAAATTGATAAAAAAATCCTTTCCCCCTTGGCAAACAACAATTTAAACTCATGTCACTACTTTACAAATTATATTAAACAAAACCAAATGTTTAAAAAAAAGAGTAGAAAAAACTATAGAAAACACCTAAGCACACACAAAGCTTTTGTTATCAGATGTTACATCTTGTTCATCCTCTGTAAATACAAAAAAAACCATTCTTAAAATTCTTTATTGTCTCTGCTTTCACATCAAAATCATTCAGGTAACCTTGTAAAGCAATTATAGTATTGGCTTCCTTGAAGTTCTGTATCTTCTGCCCAGAGTATAGGACACAAGAGGTACAGAACTATGTAAGGTGGAAGTCCATGAACAGATACATTACTTAATAAATATCAACTGATGATAAAAGTTATATTAACAGAAAGTTTTCTTAAAACACCAAGCACTAAACTAATATTTTAGAACTTAAAAGTAACAGTATTGCCACTCCTTTTTATAGACCTCCAAAGACTAGGAGAAAAGTAAGTCATGCTTTGCCCTAACTGCATTCTGCATCAAGTTTTAAAATCATGTAGTCTGTGAAGGGAATCTTAACCCTGATTTAAGGGCATTTATTTTTGACTATTTCTATTTTTACTGAAAGAGAATGCAAGCACGTTTACCAAAAAACAAGCCAACATATGCATTCTAAGGGTGTGAGTACTAAGAAGGTAAATAAAGGCTATCTGCCCCTAAGGTACAAAAGCAGGATTGGCAGGGGCTGACCCAGTGGCGCAAGCGGTTAAGTGCGCGGGCTCCGCTGCGGCGGCCCGGGATTTGCCGGTTCAGATCCCAGGCGTGCACCGACGCACCGCTTGTTAAGCCACGCTGTGGCGGCGTCCCATATAAAGTAGAGGAAGATGGGCACGGATGGTAGCCCAGGGCCAGTCTTCCTCAGCAAAAAAGAGGAGGATTGGCACTGGATGTTAGCTCAGGGCTGGTCCTCCTCACAAAAAATAAAATAAAATAAATTTTAAAGAAATTTAAAAAAAAAGCAGCATTGGCAAAGAAGGAGATAGTTTTTACAAGAAATGCATTTTATTTTATAATTATGCAATTATTTGCCAAGCATTTTTTCCCCAAGAATTTGGGGCACAAGTCTTTTAAAAATTCATATCATGAGCAAGGATTTAAAATAAGAAGCCTAAGCTACGCTAAATCCCAGCTTTACTTCTTTACTAATATGATCTTGAACAAATGACATAATCCCTTTGAGCCTCAGTTTCTACTTCAGTAAACAATTATTAAATAGTTATTAACACTGAAAAGTCATCATGCAAAATGCACAATTATAATATTTGTTGTGATTAAGCATTCACACAATTATATAAATTAAATCACTAGATTGGAATCTACCTAACATATGTCAGATGTGAGAGATTTTTGTAGTCCTAGATAATGAGAAAATAAAAGGGTCAGGCAAAAGACAAAAAGAATATAGGGGAAAGAAACCTTAATTGGGAATAGAAGCAAAATATAGATGCTGGAAAACAAGGCATGGATTAATCCCCACTAATCACCAGTATATCTACTGTCTAATCAGTCAGCAGTTTTCAAACCACAAAAGGAAAGGTCCCCAGAATCCATGACAAAGAGACATCTTTAGGATGAAAGACTGGAGTAAGGTCTTTCTGCATAATTATTATCAAATTTAAATTAAACCAGTGCTTCTAAGGTATATATATTCAACATTTCTAAGGGCTATGGAAGTACTTACAAAGCCAGAAAACATCTATATAATCTCTTTTCTCAAGAGGCAGATTAAGGAGAGAACACTGAGAGTGTAAGGATGAATATGGATGAAGAGATGAAAAGATTAAGTATTTCCTGAGTTATGCACAATTGCGGGGCCAAAAATTTAGAAAACAAATTCATGCATTAAAGAAATGAAAAATCAAAAATCTGAAAACGTTTTAAGTAAGTCTATCTAATTCACTGTCATAATATTTTGAACACCAGGACTTTTAGATAAAATAAGAGTCCTCCTAATTCTCTGGCCTTTTAATTCTATGGATTTCATTAATTACAATGTTATTAATGAATCCAATCTAGCAGTTTATGATAATTTACAATTGAGGATCATTTTTTTGTTTGTTTTTGGTAAGGAAGATTCACCCTGAGCTAACATCCATGACAACTTTCCTCTGTTTTGTATGTGGGATGCCTCCACAGGATGGCTGATGAGTGGAGTAGGTCCACGCCTGAGATCCAAACCCATGAACCCGGGCCGCCAAAGCAGAGCACACAGAACTTTAACCATTTGGCCAGGGGTTGGTGCCATTGAGACCATTTTTTATATGACTACTAGCAAATTAGCAACTCCTTTCTTGCAAAGACTCAAAATAAATTTCAGTCAAACTGGTCTGTCTATATATATAACTCTCATAGAGACAAAATAATTTGGGGATTTTATTAAACTAATCAATTCTACTAAAATAAAAGATGACTCCATTTACTCACAGTCTGAGTTCAAAATGTTTGTTTTTAGAACAAAATAAAGACTATATTAAAAAATACTTTTCCCACACAAAAACTTGCACACAAATGTTTATGGCAGTTTTATTCATGATTGCCAAAACTTGGAAGTGACCAAGATGTCCTTCAAGAGGTGAATGGGTAAATAAACTGTGGTATGTCTATACAATGGTATATAATTGAGCAATAAGAAGAAATGAGGGGCCAGCCCGGTGGCATGTGGTTAAGTTCATGCGCTCCGCTTCCGCAGCCCAGGGTTTGTAGGTTGGAATCCCAGGTGAAGACCTATGCACCGCTCATCATGCCATGCTGTGGCAGCGACCCACTTATAAAATGGAGGAAGATGGGCAGACATGTTAGCTCAGGGCCAATCTTCCTCAGCAAAAAAAATGACTAAATAAACAAAAAGAAATGAACTATCAAGCCACGAAAAGACATGAAAGAGCCTTAAATGCATATTTCTAAATGAAAGAAGCCAGTCTGAAAAGGCTATAGTATAATTCCAACTATATGACATTCTGGAAAAGGCAAAACTGTAGAGACAGTAAAAAGATCAGTGGTTGCCAGGGGTTCACAAAGGAAGGAAAGAGAAATAAACAGGTGAAACACAGCAGATTTTTAGGGTGGTGAAACGATTCAGTATGATATTGTAATGGTGGATACACGGCATTGTGCATTTGTCAAAATCCACAGACTGACTATACAATACAAAGAATAAATCCTAATGAAAACTGTGGACTTTAGTTAATAATAATGTATCAACGTTGGTATATCAATTGTAACAAAGGTACCAACTAATGCAAGATGTTAATAATAGGGGAGGGGGGATATAGGGGAACTCTCTATACTCAGCTCAATTTTTTCTGTAAACTTAAAACTGCTCTAAAAAGTAAAATTTACTAATGAAAAAAACTCCTTTCCAGTATTTTTTTCTGACAGTAAAGTAGATTTAACAAAATGGCTACAACAGTTACTATGTTCTAACGTGTTTTTGCCAGTGACAGAATAATAATTTTAAAAGTTAATTTTTTATTTAACAATTAAATTACACATATTCAAACTCTTCTACTTTTAACTATGTTGAAGGTAAAACTATTTTTACTTGTTATAATATTATAAATAAGATGAACACAGAAAATTTTTTAAATATATAATTTGAAATGCTTCTCACACCTGAGGAATTATTCATACCAAAGGACAAATAAACTGATAATTTGATTTAACTTCAACTCTACCTAGAACATAATTTCCCCAAATGTACTCTGATTATATTAATTGATATTATGAGGGAGGGAAAATTGGTTCCATGCTCAAATGAGTTTGGGATGTACTGGTTTAAACAAAGTTAAAGCTATTTGTTTGCGGCAGGACTACTCAGAGATTTTGGTATGCTGGCACTTACTTGGAATTTCCAGAAGGAGAATACAATATCTAGTAATTACCAGACAATACGACCATGAAACTTCTTCTATGTACATGCTTATCTACATAGAGTAGTATTCTGCAGAACATAATTGCAAAAGCTTTGACAAAGAAGAATATCAAACGTAAACACAAGGAAAAATCTCAGTTTCGCAAAGAACCAAGTACAGAGCATAGAAGTAACTTTGTTAAAAAGGAACATTTCAGGGGGCCGGCCCAGTGGTGTAGCGGTTAAGTGCTCACACTCTGCTTCAGCGGCCCGGGGTTCACGGGTTTGGATCCCAGGCGTGCACCAATGCACCGCTTGTCAAGCCATGCTGTGGCGGCGTCCCTTACAAAATAGAGGAAGATGGGCACAGATGTTAGCCCAGGGCCAATCTTCCTCAGCGAAAAAAGGAGGAGGATTGGCATTGGATGTTAGCTCAGGGCTAATCTTCCTCACAAAAAAAAAAAGGAACATTTCACCTTGATCTAAGAGCAAGAGAAGTGCCAAATGAAAATTTCATTCATTCAATCAGAAAATATTTGCTGAACGTATGTGCAAATCATGACAGTATAAAGACCAGGACACACAAAAGAAACTGCAAATAGGTCATCCTAGCTAAAGCATAATACACAGTAAAAGACAGTGTAGATAAAAACGTTTGACTAGATAGGAAAGTGTTTAAATGTACAGTTTAGACACTATAGCAGAGTCATTACATTGTTTTTTAGTGGGGAGGTAACAGGAGAATTGTGGTATTGTGAAATTAACACGGTAGCGGTATATAAGATGGGCTAGAATAGGTCACAACTCTTGAAATTGTTAAGGAAAAAGGGAAGAGATGTGAGAGATACCTCAGAGGAAGCAATGAAAGCAACAGACTATCATTCAAAAAAAAGATGAGTCATCAATATCTAATTATACTTAATTAACTAACGATATTTTAGTTTTCATAGATTCTTGAGTTTTCACAATCACTTATATGGTTAACAAATTACTGAAAAGAATTTCAGTTGAAAGAGAACACTTTCATAGCATTTGTGAATATATTAGCTAATGTACCAATACTCATACTTAGATATTTAAGGTGAAAGTTGGTATATAAAAACAAAATCACTCAAACTTTGTAGTAGAAAATTGTATTACCTTTCTGACTGGCTTTAACTATCACTTCTATATGCTTCATTGCTGCTTTTAATAGTTTCTTGGTTATAATAGATGGAATATCCACCTAGAAAAATTCAACATTAAAATAAAACTTTTAAAATAATTACCACTAAGTTACAATGGCAGGAACACTATATTTAAGATACTGGAACATATGATCTTAAAAATTAGAGGTATTATTTGCAGTCTTTCAAAAAACATAACTTAAAAGCACTTTATATTCTTGGATCATACTAACTGTAACTTGAACAGTTTTTCTACCACAGTAATGAAAATATATCTCAATATGCATAACCTAAATACTAAATTTTTCTCACATATAATACCTTTATTCTTGACTTATTTCTTTAATATGTTCGTTTTAAATGCATTCAAAAAAGTTCTCAAGTAACACATCCCTTTGAGGCTGTAAATCTGTGTTTACTAAGGTTACTTGAAAATGAACGTTTTCATTCAACTTACAAGACAAATCCTGTTTTAAGATATATGGAAGCATTCTATTTTGGAATAATATTAAGTTCATCATTCCCCACAGATATTTTTCAACTTAAAGGCTGGAAACTGTAGTGACAATCGTAGGTTAATGAGAGAGGGTTGAGGGCTTATATGTACACACATAAAAGAGAGAAAAAATAAAACTGAAAATAAATGGCAAATAAAATAAATCACCAAAAAGCATGTTTATTGGACTTCAACAGGCTTATCTTCCGCCACTAAAATCAACACATTATGTTTTCCCTTATCAAAAGCATAAGAAAATTGCATCATAATACGGTTAAGTTCTGTGTTAACTTTTCTATTCTTTTTAAATTCCATATTAAGGAAGAGAAAAAAAATCACAGGCTGATAAATCTAAGTGTGATGGATCATAAGCCCCCAATTTTTAGTGATTTACTAGTAAAACCAGAGCAGTTTACAGATATCTTTTGACTGTATAAGATCAAACATGTTCAATAAGAGGGGATATTTTTGCTAGTAGTATGTGTTACAAAATAACATTACTCTCCATTTATCTCTGGCCTCTTGGTACTTGATGATTATAAATTACTCTCATATTTATCAAATAAACAATATGTTTTAGTTTTCAAACATTAAAAAATCTTCTCTGAATACTCATGAAAATTTTCATTTGTAAGTTCCATTTTACAGACTTCAGGTCAGAATCAAAATGTTAAAATAATGGGTTTGTCACTAAACTCTGATTTAAAAAAAAAACACTGTGGACCTTAAATGACTCTTTGTTTTCACTATCCCCAAACTGCCAATTTACATTATCCAGGCAATGGTAACAAGGATAGAACACTGTACTAGAAATAAGATGACCCAGGCCTAATCCTTTGCCCATTAACTACCTCTGACACTTTGCCAAAGTTACTAATTTTTTATAAAATGGTTATGACAATGACTCATTTATCTCCTACGATAATGATGCAGACAAAATGTAAGGAAAGAATATACAGCACAACAATCCAGAAAATGGAAGAAAATATTTGTAAATTATATATCTGATAATGGACTTGTATCCAGAATATATAACGAACTCTTGTAACTCAACAACAAAAAGACAAATAACCCAGTTAAAAAATGGGTAAAGGATTTAAACAGACATTTCTCCAAAAAAAAAAAAAAAGGTATACAAATGGCCAATAAGCACATGAAAAGATATTCAAAATCATTAGTCATCAGAGAAATGCAAATCAAAGCCACAATGAGATACCATTTCACACCTACTAGCATGGTTAGAATCAAAAAGTGAGATAACAACTAGTTCTGGCAAGGATGTAGAGAAATCAGAACCCTCATACACTGCTGGTAGGAATGCAAAATGGTACAGTCACTTTGGAAAACAGTCTGGTAGTTCCTCAAAAGGGTAAACACAGAGTTACCATTTGACCCAGTAATTACACTCCGAGGTATATACCCAAGAGAAATGAAAACATATATCCCCCCAAAAAAACTTGTACACAAATGCTATAGCAGTATTATTCATAATAGCCATAAAGTGAAAACCAATCCAAATGTCTGTCAACTGATGGATGGATAAACAAAATGTGGCATATCCATATAATGGAATACTATTCCGACATAAAAAAGAATGTACTGATACATGCTAAAATATGACAACATGGATGAAACTTGTAAACATTATGCTAGGTAACCAGTCACAAAATGCTACATATTATATGATTCCATTTATATGAAATGTCCAGAATAGACAAATCTATGGAGACAGAAAGTAGACTGGTGGTTGGCTAGGTCTAAAGGGATGGGAGAACAGGGGTTTATGGCTGAAGAATATGAGGTCTCATTTTGGATAATAAAAATGTTCTAAAATTGATTGTGGTGATGGCTGCACAACTCTGAGAATATGCTAAAAACCACTGAATAGTATACTTTAAATAGGTGAATTGTATGGTATGTAAAGTATATCTCAATAAAGCTGCTAACAACAAAAAATATATATATAGCACACTCCAAGTATAAGGTACTATAATTTTAAAATCCACTAGGCTATTTCAAAGCCTAACATAGATAGCATAGGTATTAACTAATACCTATAGATGAATTCACTGTAATGAGTCAGCTATTTGGTCAATTATTTTAATTTTCTTATGCTAAGTTGTAATTTAATAGTTTATCATCAAACAATTGATATTTCTTACTAAATCTTTTATTCCACTTAAAAGTCTACTATGAGATAATTGCCTCAGAACTTTTTTTTTAAACAATATGGTTAACATTTATCAACTTCTTTCTATTTACAAAAATGAAAATGCTCAATGCAAACAACACATGGTGAACAGAAAGAAATGCATGCAAAGAACCAAAAACCAGCATCAACCTTCCACTGTAATAAGAGTTAACAGTGATAAAAATATATATGTCCTTAATATACATATTAACAAGCTTTAATATGTGAGCTTTGTTTTCAAAGTGGAAAAATACCACATATATTATTTTCCAGCCTCTTCCACTTAACTATGTAAGATAAATAATTTCCCATGTAAATAACTACTATTCTACAAAATGACTTTTCTTGGCTGCATAGGATTCTGTAGTTAGCATGTATTATATTTAATCAACCAACAATCCTATCACTAGACATCAGCTTTTCTTTTTTTTTTTTTTTTTGAGGAAGATTAGCCCTGAGCTAACATCCGTTGCCAATCCTCCTCTTTTTGCTGAGAAAGACTGGCCCTGGGCTAACACCCGTGCCCATCTTCCTCTACTTTATATGGGATGCTGCCACAGCATGGCTTGACAAGCAGTGCGTCGGTCCGCGTCTGAGATCTGAACCTGGGAACCCCAGGCCACCGAAGTGGAGCGCACCATCTTAACCACTACACCACCAGGCCGACCCCTCAGCTTTTCTTTTCAGTTTTCCTTATTATAAATTATACAGCAATGAATCTTTGAACATACATTTCTGATTATTTCTTTAAAATATATTACAAGAAAACGGAATTAAATTTGGGAGTAGAGACATTTTTAAGTCTGTTAATAAATATTACCAAACTGCCTTCCAGTGTAAAAGTTATACCAATTTGGATTTGTACTTGCTTTGCCTATTTCCCCACAATAACCATTAATAGATATTATCATTCTTTTTTTCATCTTTCCCAATCTGATAAGCAAAAGAATTGCATCTCATCAAAAAACTGTATACATTTGATGTGAAAGAACATAATTTTCAAGTATTCATTGGCCATTTTATATTTTCCTTGTGTGAACTACTTATTCATATTTTTTGCATATCTTTTCTACAGTGGTTGATTGTATTGTTCATTTCTTGAATAGGTAAAGAAACATTTACTAAGATTTATTTTTATTTTATTTACTAATGGCAGAGATATTATATACCAATTTATTGTCAATATGTTCAATTTTACTGCATTGACAGGGCAATAGACAAGTATGTGTCTATAGCCAACACACTGCAAGTATAGATAGGCAAAGATTCAAATGTACACAAAACATGGCTTAAAAAAAATTTTTTTTAAGTAGATCATAATCATTACCATTTACTCAGTAAATTCATCTATTTATTTATTTTTTTTTTTTTTAAGATTTTATTTATTTATTTTTTCCCCCCAAAGCCCCAGTAGATAGTTGTGTGTCATAGCTGCACATCCTTCTAGTTGCTGTATGTGGGACGTGGCCTCAGCATGGCCAGAGAAGCAGCGCGTCGGTGCGAGCCCGGGATCCGAACCAGGGTCGCCAGCAGTGGAGCGCGCTCACTTAACCACCAAGCCACGGGGCCGGCCTAAATTCATCTATTTAGAATAGGACATTTTTTCCTATAGTTGTCTTTTTATTCCTAATTGTCACAAACCAAGATATCCAAGCATTAAATTAAAGAAAGTAAAACTGAACAATGAATCAAAAGTGACCCGTTCGTCTTTTAATCTAAAAAATGAAAAGTGAAGGAAAAAACAAATACACACAGTATATAATAAGGTGAAAATAAGATTTTAAAGAATCTCTTGAGTAACGATAAAGCCTCAAATTTCCAAATTTCTCTTATAAATATATACCTTGTGAATCCTTCGAATTAAGACAGATGCAAAAAACCGTAAGGTAATTCTCAGTTCATCAACAAAGGACTCATCATCTGTTACATCCCTTCAAGTGAGGAGAAAAGCAAGCATTTAGAAGTTCAGAGAAATACACAGCTTCATCTTCCAGAAACCAAGGGAAGTCCAGAATTTCCCCTTTTTTCCATTTATTTATGCTATTTTTCTTTTCATTTTTAACAAATCATGCATTACATTATAGAATCATACACAGACATGTATAAATAAGAAAATAAATCTCTCCCACAATTTTAGTACCAAGATATAATCACTATTAACTAAATTGTAGTATATATTTCCCTATAGACTTCCCCATGTATGCAGTCATATTTTTACAATACTAAGATCATTTTCTAAGCATCATCAAAGAAATTTCTAAGAAACAAAACAAAGAATAATCTGGGAAAAGCAACATAATTAAATTAATACAAAATTTTAAATCAGTTTAAAATATTTATAGATGAATAATTAAATCAATTCTTTGTGTGTGTGTGTGTGTGTGTGTGTGTGTGTGTGAGGAAGATCAGCCCTGAGCTAAAATCTGATGCCAATCCTCTTTTTTTTTTTTTTTTTTTTTTTGCTGAGGTAGATTGGCCCTGAGCTAACATCCGTGACCATCTTCCTCTACTTTATACGGGACACCACCACAGCACGGCTTGACAAGCAGTGCGTCGGCACCCACCCAGGATCCGAACCTGCGAACCCCAGGCTGCCAAAGTGGAGCACGCGCACTTAACCACTTGCGCCACCAGGCCGGTCCCTAAATTAATTCTAAAAGTAAAAAAGAAACGTGTATTCTATTTGTAAAAGAAAATAAACTGAAACTCAAACATTTTTAAACAGAAATTTTGACAACATTCTTCTCAAGAGCTACTTTTCATTTTCCTGAAGTCTTGCAGTCCCTAGAAGAATTAGGACACTTCCCCAATCAAAGCAAGAGAGAAAGGTATGTATAATGGTGATATCCTGAACTTGAAGATGGTGCTGTTAAGTCCTTTGGTAGAATAAGGAAGATAATTGTATCATCCATGCTTCCCACTATTAACCCAGGGAAGGAGATATTACAGGATCAATAGCTATACTTCAGAGAAAATACGTACTTTAACATTCAGAAATACAGCCAGATTTTACATCTGAAGAGTCGTAATGTGGGGTGGGGGTGGGGGAGTCTTTACAACAGTATTCATTTTATGAAAGGCCTCACTTTATATATCAGCTTTACTTAAATGGCAAATGCCCCATATTTAAGACAGAATCCAACATAAAAAGTTAATTTATTTGGCTTTTCAGGAAAATGACATACTATAAACTGGATATTACATTTGTTTTAATACACTACAGATCAGCTTAACTACCAGTATTTTTTAATTAGAAAATTCAAAATATATTGAATCAATATAAAATTAGGGTAAATGTCATTAAATACTACATCTGTAAGTCAGACAGGTGTAAGTGTTCAAAAATATAACTAAATACATGATGCTATGTAAGAAAACATGTATTTATTAAATGATATAACTTGGATTTCTGATTCTCAAACTAGATTTTTTTTTCAGATCTAGAGTATTTTCTACATCCTGCAAAGCATAGGTCACTTAACACATCCATCGCAGATACCAAAAACAAAGTTACTTGGGAAAAAAACATATTAATATTCAAGAAAAATTCTACTGAAATTACCTTTCAATCAGTGAAACATCTGGGTATAAATTTTTCCTCTAAATGTACAATTATTTCAAATGCAAAAAGGGCATACAAAATATTAAATCACTACATTTAGGAGTAATGAGAAATTCTGTAAGTTACTTTTCTTTCAAAAAGCAGCCTAGGTTTTTTTCCTCTTTGCTATCACTAAACTGTTAATTGATTACCTACATCAATGGTTCTTAACTGGGGCCAATTATGCCTCCCAGGTACATTTTTGGTAGTCACAACTAGGGGGAGGAGAGTGTGCTACCAGCATCTAGTGGGAAAAGACCAGGGGTGCTGCTAAATATTCTAAAACGTACAGTACAGCCCCCCCACAACAAAGAATTACTTGGCCTAAAAGAAAATGTCAAGAGCCATAAAGTTTAGAAATCCTGGCCTACACTGAAAAAATGTCATTAGCATGCTTAACTTTATGGTATTCTCTATACTAAAGAAAAAAGGTCTTATAGAAAGAACATACCTGTACCACGGATAAACAAAGTTTTCCAACACTAATTCAAGAACCTGCATAAAAATTATTTTTTAAAGAAAAATCAAATTAATTAACTAATTCTGGGAAAATAAACTGTACTACTAAGTAATATACAATATTACCAAGAACCACAGAGTTGCCAAAGTGATCTAAAACATCTATTTGACCACATCATTCCCTTGCATGAAACCTTCAATATATCAAACCACAATATATCAAAGTAAGAAAGGGGAGCTGCACTGATTTTGAAGGGGCGGGAGAAAGTTGCATGCCAGCAGCTGCAACCGTTTATTCCTTTTCATCTCCCACTGCATCCTGTGAGTCACATCTGAAAACTCTAATTACAGACCCAATTTGAAAATCACTGACTTCCATGATCAATTAAACTCCTTCAGCATAATTCTTTAAATCTTTTGACGATCTGATTTCTACAGAGCCATATAAAAACTGGTTAAGAACTAAGCCAGACCTGGGTTTTAGACTGAGTTCTGCTACCAACCACCTATGAAACTTGAGAAAATTATTAAAACTCTCTAAACCCCAGTTTTGGTAAAATCATCAATAATAGCACCTACTTCACAGGTTGTATGATTACATGAAATAATGCAAATACAGTGATTAGCACAGTACCCAATATAAGTAAGTGATCCATAACTATTAGCTACTAGAATACCGTTGTCTCTTCATTGCCCACATCATCCCTCACATTTTACCCTTCAGCTTAGAGAAGGGTAAAGGGTAAACAAGCTCCACCTTGTTTCAAAGCTTCTTTTTCCTTCCATAAGGTCTTTTCAAACCCTGAAATACCTTTCCCACACTATCAGTCTGGCAAACTTGTAGTCATACTTCCTGAATGCCCCTCTCAACAGCTGAGCACCTCTTCCTCTGCATGAATAATACACCTTGTACGCTTCTTCCATTATTGCCTGCATTACATTATATTGTAATTACCTGTTTATATGTCTACCTCCCCTCCTAGACTGACGTTCTTAGAAGAAAGGAATCATATCTATTTCTCTTTTTTATCCAGTTCCTGCCTATAGCAAGATCTCAAAAAATGTTTT